CAGATATTTTACTCGGAGTAAATGCTTAATTTTATTAATACGACCCAATAAGTCAAAATTTAGTTAAAATTTGCTGCTCCTTGGCGTAGATATGTACAAATCTCCTAAAAAAGTTGTAACCATTACTTCACGTTGAACAATTTTATGACTTAAGGAGCCGGTTTTTCAACGCACGGTTAAATCTGGCTCAATGCTTCGCTCGAGTTTAAACTAAAGTTAGCCGAACAAATCTCAGCCAGCTGTGGAATGGTAAATTGAATTGTTATTTATTGGCTGAGTCTTGAAAATCGGTTATTGATCGTATAAAAAATAAAACGCGGAGAAAAATTTATTTGCCATTTTTAAAAACTGGGTTATATAAAAAGGGGCAAGAAACGGAAAAATCTAAAATGACAAACGGGAAAAAACATATAGAATTGCATGGACAAAAAGGGAATAGGCTCGCCCAAAACCTGTCACACTGGTTCTGACTTCCATTTTTATTTTATTTTTTGTTTTGATCTGACGCCAGCACGTCTCTGCCTCCGCAAGCATCCACGCTGTCAAAAGCTGATCAGTTTGTTATTTCTCTTTTTATTTTCGTTTTTAATTTGGATTTTGCTTTTCACTATGGTAAGTTTCGTCGAAGAGTGGTGGAATTGAAAATCTTTGGCGTTGTGGCAGCCGGCATTTCGTCGACGAGTGGTATATTTCCTCGGACAACTCAAAATTTCTGAAGAACAAAAACGGTCGCTGGGAATGCGCCATCTCATTTATATACGTTCTCTGCTTAAATCTACGAACGCGTAATAGCGACATCTGTCATACCAACGCGATAGATGAATTAAGAAAACAGATGCCGCGCTAAGCAGCAAAAGTTTGTTCGTTTGTTTTACGATATTAGACTAACGATTTTAGATTAACCCTTAGATACGCAACGAAACTTGTCAGCCTGTCGGCCGCTCAAATCAGCAAAAAAATATATTTGGCCCCTGCGATATGTAATAAAAAATAACCTTTAAACTCAATTTAGTCTAATGTAATTGGTTCAACTTACCAAAAACAAAAAAAAAAACATTTTTGTCACAAACATTTGATGAAGCAACAACACAACTTCCCGGAGAATCATACTCGAAAAATGCCATAAACTTACTCAACGAAATTAAGACTCCCTACTATTATTGCAAAAAAAAAGGGGAAAAATTAACACTTTTTGTTATACATTTTCTACAATCTTTTGAACGAATTTAGCGGCATCCTTAATCAAAAACAGTCACAACTTAAAATTTTTCAAAAACTGGAAAAACACTTTTGAGACTGTTTTTTGATTTGCTTGCTTCGGTTGCGCAGCATCAGCAGTTTTTTGCCTCTCCTGAACATTTGGGATATTTTGTATTGTCACTGTTTTTGATTTAGGGTGCGATATAAATGTAGTCATGTGAAAAATAATAGCGACACGACATTATCACCAGTTTTAGCTACATATTTTTCTTTTGTTTGTTTAATGTTTTTTATTTTTTACAAAAATACGGCTCAAATTTCAAACTTTGTAGAAAAAATTTAGAAATTAAACAAAAATTTACAAGAAACTTTTTAGTCAATTATTTTTAGAAAAATTCCAATTATGCAGTTTTGTAGGCCATTAAATTCCAGCTTAAGAAAGTGCCAGTTTCAAGTGGCTAAGAATTCGCGTTCATTTTTTGTAATTTTTTTGCAGATATTTTCTTCTAAACAAAAAAAAAACTCGAACATAATTTGTATGAAAAAGAAAGGTCAGTGACTTAATTGGTTTTTGCATGCACTTGGTGGCCAATTATATTAAAAAAATCATGTTTGTCGACTCAATCGTACGGAAAGTGTCCCAAAAGAACAAAAAAGAAGCATTCGCTCCTTCGACATAAATCTCATTTACGTCAATAGTGTCATAACTCAAAACAGCTAAGCTCGAGAAAAACGGCTTTAAAGTTTTTGAAATTACATATCGATGGCTGAGTGGAAGATCGACCTATCTCGGCTGCCAGTTCGAAAACGCTCTATCTCAAAAAACTTTTCAAGAACGCCCTATTTCAGAATTTTATTGAAAAACACCCTATCTCAAAATTCGGTTCAAAAACGCCCTATCTTACTTCAAAATGTATTGAAAATATGCTGATATAGGGAGTTTTTGAATCGACAGCTGAGATAGGGCGTTTTTGAAACGAATTCTGAAATAGGGCGTTCTTGAAAAGTTTTTTGAGATAGAGCGTTTTCGAACTGGCTGCCGACATAGGTCGATCTTCCACTCAGCCATCGATATACTCCCATAGTAAAAATGAATACATTTTTTTTTTCTAGTGAGATACTGGTAACTGATACAGCTGTGGAGCTTCTACTGTATTATATTTTACTTTAAAAAACTAACAACAATTACAAATTGGAAAATGTTTTAATTCGTTTTTTTGCCAAAAAAAAATTTTTTCAGTTGGTTGAAATTAATTGAATATACATAACGTTAAAGTATTAAAAAGTATTTTATTCAACTACAACACAGCTATGAAATTTTTACACTACGTAAAAGAAGGGGTAGCGGTAATTTCTGCATGCTCAACTCAAAATTTATATTTTTTTGGATTGTGACACTATTGAAGTAAATGAGCGATATACATATGTATGAGTTTTCATTATGATTTTTATAACGAAGATACTATCGTAGCCGAGGAAGTTATTGATGGATTCATTAAGCATTCATTAATACTAATAGAAAAACTTACAACTTGTGTGTCACTTCCATGAGCTAAAGCTTACGAGTAGCGTTTAGGCCTTCAGCCTAAACATTTTCATTCTTTTGTGACCCGCCCTAATATTGGCATATATGCGTATGCACACACATATACATATGCACACGTGCTATCATTAATTCGCGCCGTTAACTGACGGCTCCCGCCGGATAATAACCCTTCGTTAAGTTTCCCCTTAATATCGGTTATTGTCCGGCGGTTCGATTTGAAAATCCCGCAAATTCTTCATGTCTCTTCGGTTTAGCAGATCAACGCGCGCACAGCAGCTACCAGGCCATTCCCGTCCAAAGGTATTCAAATATTTTTTTATTCCACATTATATATATATATATATATATATCTATATTGAAATAAATCGACTCTTTACTGAATTTGTCATTAACATCGAAATATCTTGGTTCTATTCAAGAATAGAAGAACACGTGCCATTTTATCATAACATATTTAGCTGGCCAACCGCAAATAAATAATCCCTATAAAGATTATTTTACATTTTAATCTCTTTAAACTCAAGTACTATATTCAGCTCAAAAAAATTCTATGCATCGCTTTTTTTTTTTAACTACAGAGTTTTATTGATTCCTGTACAATTCTAATTGTTTGACTTACCGAGGTTTTTTAAATTACCGATTAAATTTTTGGCTGAACCGTATAAATTATTATTGAAGCACATCTTTTTATTCTTGGGTTTGGTAGATATTATCGATGGAACAGAAATTCTACCGACTACATCTCTGGTATTCAAGTAATTGAATGCCAACAGTGCCATTTATCCTTTGCGACTACAGGAGAAATTAAAACCATTTACGTTTGTATCTTCCATGTAAAATATATATTTTTTTATTGATTTTTAAATGTTTTTTTTTTGTTTTGCCCATAGAAGTATAAATACGTTAGAATTCTTCAGAAATATTGTGAAATATGCAATGCTATTATTTAATGAAGCCAACCTTTTACGAAATGTTCGCTTTATTCAGCATTTATTGTACGCTAAGAATATGTAAGTAAGTATACGTTGAATAGAAAATTATCAATTACTATAGAACCATAATTCAAGTAACTAAATTTAAGATAATTACTAAGAATAAGCTTTTTTTAGTTATTTTTGTTGTTTTGAATTAGAATTAACTCTTTTTTAAAATTGAGCTTTCAACACAATTACGATGCAAATAACATATATGCCAGTATGTTGTGTGTAACCAACACACATATGTATGTATGTATATAAAAGTGCAAATCAACTACTAACCTAAAACGAGTTTCGGTTGCTGCACCTATTAATATAATAGAAAAGGAATTTTAGCGATTACTGCAAAAAAAAAACAGCTTGAATTTGTGGGCATTGGGCGTCCAAAGTAAAATGTCCGACATCGACGGACCGGCAATTCAAAATATTTATGTATGTATGTATGTAGTTATATAGCTTTCATGCCAGATGGTCGGATGGTCCCATTCATAGCTTTCTGCTGTCAATTTCAATCATTTCATAAGGAACATTTATTGGATGAACATTTTTCAACCATTTTGTTAGCGTTGTATTTCCAGGCACTTTAGTGTTTTCGAAACAAAAAAGTCGCTGCTGTATATATAAAATATTATCAAATCTGTAATTTTCAGAGATTTATTTATTATCCAACTGAATACAAGATATCATTTTGGCTCTCTCGCTATACTTTTGTGTCGCATTGCTTCGTATCAAAAGATATTGCGGAGCTTGTCTCTAGGGAAATTGCGTGTGTTCTTTCGTAGTAATCGTTATTGCAATAATTCGAACAACTTTCATTCCTATTCCTGTATTTGCTACATCAACAACTAATCCCTTGTTGATATTTTCTGTTATCGGTAGTACTTGCAACTATAAGTATACTCATTCACCAATGTTCGATAGAACACAAGGTCCATATAATTATTATGCCGGGCGTGTGCCACTACTTTTCGCAGTCGCAATACATAGCTTAGAGTGATTGGTGTTGGTGCTATTTTGTACCGTAATCCCGTAATTGCGAATCATTGGTTACATTTTGTGTTTTTTTAATGTACCGTTATCCAATGCATTTTTTGCAGTTTCCTTTTCTATTTAACGAATGAATACCTTTACGATCTAAATAAATAAAATGCCATCCCCATAAAAATAAATGTTTTGTCATCGCTTTTAGTTTGCCTATCTTTCAACAACTATGCGATGCACCTCTGTTGACAGCGCGAAATTTAACTCCAAAGGAGAAGTTGATTCGGCTTTTATCCATGATATGTTAAAATACTGCGCTCCACGGGCATCTGCTTCAGCGATTCCTTAAGTTCTTAACTTGCGCCTCTGATGCGTGTATTAGGACATGCAAACATATTAATCGGCTATCAGTTAGTTACATTAATTCCTACACTCCCCCTAAAAGCAACCATATTGGCAACCGCGCGTCTTCGATACACGTTCGCAACGTAGAGCTCTTACTTATAACTGCATATTTGCAGTTTATCTGGTGGTTGATTTGCTTGACGCGAACTTTGCGTTACCACGGTGTGTGTCTGCACTGCTGGCGGCGCATGCGGAAGCATTTGAGGTGCTGCTAGCAGTCAATTCAAATTGGTGGCGGACCACGAATATAACGGAGTTGAGGCGTGAAACTCATTGACAGGTTGTTGAGGTTGTCGCAGCAATTGGGCTGCATGAGGCAGGCGGCGCACAGGAAGGTGATCAAGGCCAGTTGCACAGGCACAGCTGCTTTGGCAATGCGCCAAGTCCAGCTATTATGGGGATGCTTGTCATCCTTGTCGTCTGCTTCGTCCATGTCGAACTCAAGATCTGGATCGTCTGCCGGGTCGCCAGAGTCTGGCGCACCAGCAGCCAGTTTGGTACCCACCACTTTACAAGTCGAAGCCGATGCGTTAGCTGATGTGGAGGCACTGCTGTTGTCGGCGTCTGTATTGGATCCGTTGGAATTCTTATTCTGCTTGCGACGTCCGTTTCTTCTGGGAGACGCATTTTCTTTAGCAGCACATTCCTGCTCTTTCGTGGCACTGCTTCTCCTGCCACCTGCATGTCCGTTCGCCTTTACTATTGCACCGGCAGTATTTCGTACACTGCTATCTATTTCTTCTCCACCAGGTACTTGAAGTTGATGTGCTTCCGCTTGCTGTAGCTGCTGTTGGACTTTCTTATTTTGATGTGTAGCTGCTGTGCGCACAATTAAGTCGCGACAGGTGTTCTGCAAGTTCTTGAGCTCTGCCTCGGCGGACTCCATACGCACTGCAATGGACTTCATCGCTTCGCTGCCGGGGGCCAAAGCCAACTCCAACTGCTTTACTAGACGCCGCAAGACACCAAGTCGACGCTCACGCTCCGATAGCCCGCCATCAGAAGTGGCACCACCGTCGGAAATCCCTGAGTCTGAAAGCGAGCCGTTGGAAGCGGTGAATTTTGCAATGTGCAAGATATGGTTGGGATCCAGATGTTCCTGTACCGCAGTAAGCTGAGAAAAACGATATTAATAAAATTCGAGTCAACGTCACTAGAGGACGTACTTACCTGTTCTTGGCTAACATTTACGCGCTCTGAAAGTAGTTTGGCGACAACCTTTACATTCTGCGCCAGCTCTACTGGGCTGGCTTGGCCCTTGTCCAACGCACCCTCGAGTCCCTTTAATGTGCCGCGATCCTGGCCGAGCGCTTGCTGGAACTCATACAAGCCATTCTCCAACTGCCGCCAAGCGATCAGTGAATTCGTTAGCGTCTCCAGTTGAGTATTTATCCTATCGAAGACAAAGGCATAAAGAAATTACAATTAGTTTTTTATGATTGACTTAGGCTTCCACAGCAGATATATGTATGTAAACACTGATACCTTGCGTCAGCATCGTCCCAGGCGCTGTACATGTCGCTCACTTCGTTCTTCAAATGTTTGTGGAATTCATTTTCCGAATTGATTAATGTGTGTATATCCAACACTTTGACACCCTTACCAGCGGTACTAGTGCCAATGGAAGTAGTCATAGTGGCGGTGCCAACGATTGCGTTATTTGCTGCCCCGTTGCCAAAATCGATTGCCACAGTTGTGGTATTTTCTTTAAGCGTTCCGGTTACATCACCTCCAGCGGCAAATGAATTGGTTTGTTCGTCCACGTGCTCAATGGCCACTTTTTCAGCAGCTGCTTTCAATTCCTCCTCCATTAATACATTCTGTAGGCGTCTTTCCTGGCGCGTTAGCCAACTGTGCACGCTGGCATTCAGGCGCAGCATATTTGTGCGGTAATTTTGCAACTCCGTTTTTTCACTCTACAAATATGCAAAATTAAGTCAGTACTTTTACTGCATACATATGCCAGCCAGTGCGATTCACTTACCTTTAGAGCTTCAATTGCGACTTGGATCTGTGGTTCTGTATCCAATAGTTCAAATGTACTCTTGTTGCCCAACTTGTTCAGCGCGTGCTTGAGAATGATCATCTCCTCTTGCATTTTACGTGCGGATGCAGCATTTTCGCTCCAGCCCAATAGGTCCTCCCAAGCAGCTAATAAATCTGAAATTAAACAAAAAATGTGCGTGCCAGTTTATTCATTTTACTGAGTTCAGATGCCTCATGTCAAGCAACTATCCCAGCAACTAAATGACCAGCGATGCGCGTCGAAGTGAATAAATGGATTCAACGGTTCGCCGACACGAAACTGTAACGCACCAGTTACGCTACCCACCGGACAGACGACTGCGGTGCTTAATGCTTAGGCAGTTAAATAAATTGGAAATTGTATTTGATTGTAGAGAAGAGTGTATTTAAAATTTAAAAATATGCACATGCATACATTCTTATATATATACCCTGCAAAAGTCTAATTAACATTGCGATGTCCTAGGGCAGGACAATATACTCCAGCTCCGCATTATATCAGAGCAGCACAAAACCACTCCATGGAGTAATCCCCCTACCTCGGCAACACAACACCCCAATAAACATAGTGGAGTGATTACGATCGTTAAAACACGATCAATGATCGGATAACAACAAGCCGGGATGGTCCAACGATACATACACATACATATCGTCGATGTTTTTGCAAAACCGCCTATCTTACGGCGCTCAATTTTCACAGGAGAGCGAAAAAACAGTTTTTCTTTGAAGGCATTGCCTTGAGAGGCGATATTGTCTGTAGTTATTATTTTATAAATTTCGATGCCTGGTGTTCAGGGTTACCAAATCTCATTTTTGTCACAACGGCGATTAAGGCGGTTTTGCAAAAACAACGACGATATGTATGTATGTATGCAATGGAAAGACGCTAGTGGGAGTACTTGAATATTGGCGGATATTTACTTTCACACCATGACTATGGCAAACTGCCTTTAACCTGCTTTAGAGTATCTTCATCTGGCGAAGTTAAAACATCGCAGGTACTATCTGGGTTAAATTGCACTGCATACTTTCGCCTTTTAAAATTCATTCTAAAATCGGAAAATTTTGATTGCCTACCACAATAAACCCCGAAAATTAGATACACCTTTAGCAACATGTTTTTAAGAGTGATCTTAAAAATACAGTATGCAAATTTTTATATTTGTTTCTATACATAAAATGCATGTGGGACGTTCCTTTCGATGATGTTAAAACAAATTTTGAACATTTACAATAAATTAGTATTTTCACATATGTAGATGGCTTACCATAAGTTCGCGTATGTTTTATTGTTTTCACATATTTCCCTTAATGTATAGATACACAAAAAAAATATTTATCTGCACATCTATCGGTAAAAACCTTAAAATTTTGATAAAGAAAAGCGCACAGTGTTCGCTCACAGTGTAATATTGTATGTGCTTAAATAATTTTTCGGGTTTTCCAACGAATGTACATCGCCTTTTCGATTCAAAAACCACATACAGCCCACGATACGACTCGAATAGTTTTATTAACTTTGCACAGCTTCTCATTCGAAATTAATTTTCTTTTCCTCTGGACACTTAAAATACAATCAGGGTATTCATATAAACTCGTAAATGCCTCGTAACTGCGTAAACCTCGTAAATAAACGTTTAGATGAATTTATATAATATTTTTGTAATCAAAAGTATTTCCGAATAGAATCCCGTTTCTAAAACCGAGTGGTATCTAGTCACAAAAGTAAAGAGCTAAAACATGTACATACATGCACGGATATGTGGTTATGAATGCTGGCCCATATGTAGTAAATCTATGTAAATATCTTGGTGCCTTTATTATTTAAATTAGAGCCAAAATGAACTACTAAAATTCGATGAAACTCCGCGGGAAAACTAGCGATTATGACCGCACCTTGTGAAAACCAAAAGCCCACTGGTAGCCTTTAATTCAGCTGCACTTGAATGGAGCTGTGCGCAGTCGATTGTGCAACGCAGAACACCCCGTCGCCGCGCCCACGTGCATCTCTGGCCATGAAAACGACAAACACTGGGCGAACAGATTGCCAGCTGTAGGTATTGACGAAGAGAAGTGAGCCCAATGCCAAGTCGCTAACCAACCAGCAACCAAATTTGGTTGCTTGCTGGCGACATTGGAGCGCATTCGAGCAGGCTTAGGCGGAGCAGGTAGGCAGGTAGGCAGCTAGGCGCGCACGTCGAACCCAGATGACGATTTGCACAGTTAAGTTAACTTAACAGGAATTTCGTTGGCGCTCACACAAGGCCACTGCCATACACGGGGTTCGATGCTCGCACGCATTTTCATTTAATTGCCAGTTGTTCGGTGCTGCTGCATGCCGCGCCAAACCGAACCCACGTTCATGCAGCGAAGAAATCGACACAGGGGGGAGAGAGGAAGAAAAAGGTAAGTTTTATTCATTTTTTTTGCCGATTTTCGTGTAATTATTCGCGCCAGTGACTTCAGTTGACTCAATAGCGTGAAACGTAGCCATGTTGTTGTTGCTATTGTTGAAGTTGTTACTACTAATTGCAGCGCCAATGACGGCACCACAGAGTTGCTTGAAAGTTTTGATTAATATGCTGCTCGTCTAATTGTAGGCTTTCTTTTCAATTCGGCCTGCTATATTGCAATAATTTTAATGCTCATTTAAGCAATAAATCTGGGTAAAAGATATACATATGTACACATGATATAAGTGATACATATCGTCACCTGAAATGCAAAAAGACGTAACAACATCGTAACTGGAATGGAAAAAGTCGGGACAAATATTTTTTATTTTCTTAAAATGATGTGGGAGTTGTAATCCGATGAAATCCATCATATCAATCAAAGTGTGAATTTTGAATTTTTTATTAGTTACGACTTTTTACATTACAATGACGATGTTTGTTACCTCTTTTTGCATTTCAAGTGACCATATGTATGCATTTGCTATAAAATTGCAAGTTTAATTAAATGAGCTCATAGCGATCTAACCTCAAGCAGAGCCTGTATGCTGGCATAATTGTTTAGTATTAGTCAAGCTTTAAAACTTAAAACTAGCATACATACAATCCATCATATTGCGATATTTAGGTATGTGCGCATATTGTTCCAAAAACTACTAGCAAAACATTTGAGGGACTGCCAGAGATTTAATTAAAAAAATGGTGTGTCACGCTTTGTTTGTTTTTGGTGTTATGCGCTGGCGTCACTGGGTATTTTTAAACGCTGACTTTCCCTTTGCGTAATTTCAAAATCCAAAGCTAGTGAACTCGTATCTGTTATGAGCGTCGATTTGCCAACGAACGGCTACGGAAGCTGTGCCGCTTGAGTCGGAAGTAAAAATCGGAGTATTTATCAGCAACAAGCTCTGCCACGCCACCAGCACACAACAAGGGAAGACGATAAAAGAAGAAGAGTTGTTGATCGTCACCCTCATGCAAGAAGCATCAATGGGCAAATTGATCAGTTTTGAGTTATTGGGTTGACTTGATTACCCTTTGGATGTTCTACGTTATACCAAAACCCAGAATACCATTCGTACACGGAAAGCCAATATTTTTTATAATTTCACTTGCATAAATGTAGAGTTAAGTCTCGCAAAAAAAAAAAACTTTCAAACTTGATTTCCCAAAATTTTCATTTTTACACATTCATGTTTCTGGCATACGAGCGACGATATGTAGTACATGCGTGCGTGCGTACAATTGTAGATATGGCTTGTTTATCAAAAGTCAATGCACTTTCTGCAAAATATATTGATGTTTGGCTTTTATAACATCTATGTAAATATGTATGATTAGCTAAGTGTGCGCTTACTAGATAGCAAGAAACAACTAGTTCAAGCAGATGCCTAAGCAGTTTGTAGTGTTATAACTAGAAAAACGTAAACAAACGTGAGTATTAGACAGCTTCATTATATGAACATACATACATACATATATATATATATATATATATATATATATATTTGTATATGTATGTATGTACATGAATGCAATACCAACAAACATACATATGCATGTATAGATGGCAGATTTGTAATTTCATTCACATTTGTGGTCTACTTCAAGGTTATTTGTTCATATTAGATTCATTATATTGTCATATATACATACATACATACATACATATATATGTAGAAATGCGTGTACTACATATGAAAATCAGATTTTCTGTTCGAGGAAAAACCCGTTTGTCAATTATATAAACTTTCGAATATATCGGCATTTAATTTTCAACGAACTGTGACTGTTTACTTTTTAATACGAAAACTGTTGAAATAGAACAAATCAAACGCGGATTTCGTTGTAAGCCGTCCGGCCGCCGAAAAAATCCGGGCCCGTTACTAAATACAGCTTTGGACATATAAATGGCACAATTGTTTAAGTCTATTTTCCTATGCCATAATATCGTTAATATTTTTAATAGCCAAATCTAAAAGTTTATTCCTCGCATCTAATAATTATACAAACTCAAGTTCGAATTCATGAATAAAACCAAAAATTATGAAAATGCGAAAAAAAGAGGGAAAATCGAGTTAAAGCTCTGTTTTCATCTAGATTTTTCTGTACAAACATTTCAATCGTTAATATTATGTACTGTAGAATTTATTTCTAATGACTGCTTTACATC